ATCGTAGAGTACATGTATATATCTATACATATCTATTATATACATGTATATTTTATATACACGGAGCAGTAACTCCGTCTACCTGAAATATCTCCTTTTATCTTATTTTTAGAGATATAAAATATTGTATTTAAGAAAATTGTACGGTATCTCAAGAGAGTCATAACATACTAATAATAATTTTTCTGTGGGAGACATTTTTGAGATTTCGAGAAATCATCATTACTTTTTCTAACTTATCATAATTTTCTTATAAATATAGATTCCTCGCAATACTTTTGACATAAAATATTGTTAAAGTAGAATAGGCAAAAATAAATGGTTTACGAGATATTTTATTGAAATACCAATCGAATTATTCTAATATTTCATTCAGAAAATTATTTAAAGTAAGATTATCGAAAAATGAATATTACAAGATATTTTTTTTTCATATTCTTTGTCAAATTGTGTCAGAATGAAGCATCAATATCACATATTTGCATAACTCGTGTCAAAACTTGCCATACTTTTGTGCCAATTTATCTCAGCGGTCCAATCAGTGATATAAGTCAATATTAGTCAGACACTTAGAACTCCAAATATCCGCGTCGACATGCAAAATAAAGACGTGAATTAATATTTAAAATCACCGTGCTGGTCTTATCATGAACGTCCGAATATTTACTAAGGTTCTAGAAATGTTGCCGACCTATACGCATTTATTATGCATTATGCACCATCCCGAATACGACTGCAATAGGTCAGAAACCAAACCACATAAACCAGAAACACGAAAGATCTATTGCACAGTTAATTCTTTCAGTATTAAACTTTCTCTCTCTCTTTTTTTTATTTGAATTGAGAGGGAAAAGCTTCTAAATAAAAAATATTAATTTATGATAAAATATATTGCATATACATTATATTCTATATTTCTTTCCAAAAGTTTTTTTCGGAATTTTTAAAAATAACAGTTATAGAATTTAAATTATTGTTAATTATGTTATTAAAGTAACAAGAGAATTTGTTGCAATTTTCATTTAAAATCTATATTAATAAATAAAAATAGCAATAAAAAGATTAATCTTTTTGAGTAAATAATCTCATGGCTTTTTAATATACTATATCACAACAAAATCTTCAAAAAAGAAAAAACATGTCAAGTATATAAGAAAAATCGATTGTTTCGTTATATGCAAATGTCTTTGTGAAAATTTATTATTAGCAAATTATTGTTTAATAGCAAAATTATTTTTTTCTAAAAAGACCAATAAAAAAATGTTTATAAATAAGCCTACATATACAAAATCAAGATTTAAAAATAAAGTTAAAAAAATACTTGAAAATATGTAGCTCAAAAATAAAATCACAGCTATTTAGTCAAGTATAGGTTGGTCTCATTTTTTTTACCATATATACTTGACATCACATCGCGTCGCTTGATATACATTATATCTATTCTTTTAAGCAAAATAAGAAGTGAAATATTAAATATTTTAAACGACAACTTAAAACATTAATACAATGAATCGTTATCCGAACAATATTATATGACGTTGAAGGCATACGTTTACGTATCTTACAAGTGACACAAAAATATGTTCACGATTGGGAACGTTAACGGTTGTTACACACGGGATTCGGAATGACAGAATTTCCATCCACGCCGAAACGGAAGTAAAAGTTTTACCGCGTTTCCACCGTGAAAAAGCGCTATCGAGGGAAATGGTGGCCGGCTGCGTTCGGCTGATTACTACTGGCAGCTTAAAAGCGATGATACATACAAACGTAAATCACACGATGAAGTATTTTCAATGTATGGTCTCGCCTCCCTTTCTCTCCCCCTTCCTCGGTACAGCCGTGTTAAGTCGCGTCGAATAACGGGGGTAGGAAAATCTCCCGCAATATTTACTTCCATTTTGTCGCGACGCAGTAAACCGGTTAAAAGTTTTGAATCGCGGCAAATTTACGCGCAAATCGGGTACATGTTCCATATAAACAAATGTTGGGTTTGCACTTTAGCGCTTAGACAGTAAATCTGTATTTTTACTCAACGGGTAAAACGAGAAATTTGTCTGCTAATATGTTGTTTGTATAATTGTCGTAAAATTCAGTTTTATTGTGTTTTTATTTAAAATTAAAAGTTAAAATATGGTAAAAATATAGTGTCCACAATTAGTAAATTTAATTACATCTTCCTTATCAAAATTGAATAATTTTTAAAATTTTTAAATTTAATAATAAAATAAAAACTTCACCATTTCTTAATATAAATTGATGCATTCATGCAGCAATATGTCATAAAAAATATATCATAAAAATATACATTTATTGGATGTAGTAAGTAGTGAAAATAAATATGTGTAGGTATATTTTATAATTCAGAGTTATCTCTCTTTTATTATAATAATGTTTTGATCAAAAAGTTACTTAAAAATTAAATCGATTATTAAGCCTGACAAATGTACGAATTAATGTCTTTAAAAAATGTTTTAGACCATAACTTTTTCTTTATTTAAATCACACAGTCATTACATACTCTCTTTCTGTAATAAAAATTTATGCCCGTTTTTCCCAACATCCCTTCACTATACGCAAAAATAACGTCCGTCACGACTGCAGGTCGATATAACCAGCGAAATAAAAATACGAGCAATTTTGAAAATTACCAATAACACTTTCGTGCAAAAAGTTCATGCACCGTTGACACACTTTGCGGCTGACATACCTGCCTGTATCAATTGGATCGCTAATAGTATGATTAATTCTACCAATACTTCTGCTTTTTGCGGAACAGACATTAGTGATATTTCATTGGCTGCATAAGCCTTTGTTTACATAGAGCATGCTATAAATAAAGCAAATCATATGTAACGTACAAACAAAACTGAATATTGCTTCTGACTTTGACAAGATCAAAGTTTTCAATTTATACAGATTAAATATTGATTTTACGGATTTTAAAGAATTCACTATTCTATAATAATAAAAAAAATTCAACTGTGTAATAATGTATAATTATTCTATAGTTAAAGAATTGTAATACACATCTTCTATAATTCCTCCTTCTTTAAAATAACATATTTATTTAATATTTTATGCATAAAATATGAAATATTATATTATGAAAAACAATATTTATTTGATAATAATGGAATGGAATATATATTAGTCCATTATAGACGTAAATAAGAAAAGAAAAATATAAGACGAAATATATTTTTCGTAAAACATTTTTGTCGGAAAACATTTGTATCTTCATATGATCTGCGATAAGTTCTGCACGTATCTCGTATGACTTTTTAAGTATACTTCAAAACTTTTATAGTATTTCTCTAGAACGTTTTCTTCACATTACGCGGTCTTTTATAATTCGTATTCCTAGTCTCTGCGAGAGTTCATTCGATACATTCCTAGAGTATCATATTCCCGAATCTCAAAATATTCGGATTTTATTCTTTGTTGGGAATATTTCAGAAGAGTATATGTAAATAAACTGTGAAAAAAATACATAAAATATATTTACAGAAAAGTGCTAGTATGTGAATAAGTACATGTGGAAAAGAAATTTTTTTAAAACAAATGTTTACCATCCTTCAAATAATCACTGTACTATTGAAAATTATTGTTACATCGTAATATTTAAATTTGTACTCTTATCGTAGACAATTAAATTTATATTTTTCTCCGAAAAAGAGAAATCTCGAAAACTGACAGTCGGAGGTCCGCCATATTCGTGATTGGATTGACAAGTACGCGAAGACGCGAGTAAATCTTTAAGCCCATCACAATGTGATCACTGTACTATTGAAAATTATTGTTACATCGTAATATTTAAATCTGTACTCTTATCGTAGACAATTAAATTTATATTTTTCTCCGAAAAAGAGAAATCTCGAAAACTGACAGTCGGAGGTCCGCCATATTCGTGATTGGATTGACAAGTACGTGAAGACGCGAGTAAATCTTTAAGCCCATCACAATGTGATCACTGTACTATTGAAAATTATTGTTACATCGTAATATTTAAATCTGTACTCTTATCGTAGACAATTAAATTTATATTTTTCTCCGAAAAAGAGAAATCTCGAAAACTGACAGTCGGAGGTCCGCCATATTCGTGATTGGATTGACAAGTACGCGAAGACGCGAGTAAATCTTTAAGCCCATCACAATGTGATCACTGTACTATTGAAAATTATTGTTACATCGTAATATTTAAATCTGTACTCTTATCGTAGACAATTAAATTTATATTTTTCTCCGAAAAAGAGAAATCTCGAAAACTGACAGTCGGAGGTCCGCCATATTCGTGATTGGATTGACAAGTACGCGAAGACGCGAGTAAATCTTTAAGCCCATCACAATGTGATCACTGTACTATTGAAAATTATTGTTACATCGTAATATTTAAATCTGTACTCTTATCGTAGACAATTAAATTTATATTTTTCTCCGAAAAAGAGAAATCTCGAAAACTGACAGTCGGAGGTCCGCCATATTCGTGATTGGATTGACAAGTACGTGAAGACGCGAGTAAATCTTTAAGCCCATCACAATGTCTCTAAGAGTACCGTAGATTTCGTACCTTGATTCTGCACTCCTTGCACGCCTTGCCACAGTTTCTGTCCGTGACACACAGTCCCGTACGTCCCGAGGATAAGAAGAAAGGGTGAGAAGAGAGAGAGAGAGAGAAGAGGACAGAGAGAGGGATGATGAGGAAGAAGAGAGAGGGAGAAAAGGAGAAATTTCCTTTACACACACGCACACACATACAAATGTGTAAGTGTGCGTACACCCTCCTGGGCGAATGTTTGTGTGTCACGTACTTCCTCATGGAAAGAGAGAAAGCGAGAGAGAGAGGGAGAAGGAAAGAGAGTATACGTGCGTCTGTGTGAACCTCTATGTGTGTGCGTGTGCATCCGCGGACCCTCTGCGCGCTTCCATCGTCACAGGGGGTGGATCGGAAACGCGCATGCTCCCACGGACGAGAATCTCCCCAGTCAGGGTAAATCTGCCACCGAAACAAGACGTGCGTGCGTGCCGTTATGCTATATACAATGTCGCATACGCGAACGATTCCCGTGACGATTTCTTAAAATAGCATCGCGCGTAACAACTCGCGAGGCCAAAAAAAAAACCCATCGACATGGAAAGTCGTAGCGATCGGAGTGCAGAGTTGTTTATCGAGACGTAAAGAGAGAGAGAGAGAGGTGGAGCTGGCGAGAGGCTGGGAAAGAAATTTAAGAGGAACCGCAAAATCCGAGAAACTTTTTCAATCGATGAGAATTGTTGAAAAAAAGTGATTCGATATAATAAATAAAAAAAAAAAAAAAAAAAAGATTCATCGATGGACGCGATTGTGCGGTGAACCACCCTGCGACACCGAATCGCTGGTCGCGCGATTTCGAATAATCTCTCGAGTCGGAATGACGGAGAGAGAGCGAAGAAGAGAGTTTCGGGAGTAATTTTCGAGCTGACTGGCGAGTCGCGATCGATCGATCGCTCCGAACGAGATCCGACGATCGCCGTTTCCGACCCTTAAAAAGTATCTCTCGAAATAGTTCCGAACTACGATGTGCCTCGCGAGTCCGCGGCGACGAGAATCTCGCGCGTTCGCGCGACGGAAACCAGGACCGTCCTGATGTGAAAGGACCACTTGTGCTTCGACGATCGGGAAATCCTTGAAATCTTCCATAACGCGAAGCGGAGCGAGCCTCGAATTTCTTCAGGAGCGACGAGAGTTTACGGGATTCTTCCGGAAACCCGAGAACATCCAAACTCCACCGAAGGAGAGAGAAAGAGAGAGAGTCGCGTTTCGAGGAACGGCGAGGACTTTATTCGACGATAAAGGTGAAAAGTTCACCAGGATACGCGGCACGCCGCCCGTCGAAACTTTTGTCGTGATCATTTTCGCGTGAACATCCACGTCTATATAGGATATATACTACTTTACGGAAGATCGACGTACTTTTGAAGGACCGTCTTAGGGAGATCTCGCGAGCCGTCGCGATAATTCACCCTCCCTTTTCAGCTAAGCGGATTGAAATCTCGAACTAATCGCGAGTAAACCGTGCTCGGAAGCTCCGGAAACGCGATTGTGAACTTGTGTGTGTTTAATTAGCGTGCGAGAGTCGAGGTAAGGGACGAGTGATATATAAGACGTCGCCTGGTGGTGTCATGTCAGTGAGTGGATGGTGATAGTCACGATTGGGGGATGTGAATCAACTTTAGTATTCGAGTGTAAAGCGTCTCCCGAAGAAATAGTCGCGGAAATGGCTCTGAGATGGCAAGCGAGGCTCTCGATTGCTGCCATACTCTTTATGTGCACAGAAGGTAATCACTATCTACGCTACTTTGTAATCATCTTGCATGACTCCGCTTACTCGTACCGGGAACTATAGAAAAGAAGATGAACTCCGTGGCGTGAGTTCGTGGTGTTAGATGACCCGTAGGGAAATCGTGAAGAAGCACCTCGGATCATGAAGAAGAAACGGGAGTAATATCTTGGAATTGTTATTAATGCGTCCACGTTTGTGCGCAACTTCCTAGCCTACAATCTCGGATCGTAAATGTTTATTAATGACTAAGAACGTTATGGTATACTCGACTTAAATGGTTTCCCTTAACAGCTGCAAGAGCTTTTCGAAAATTATTAAACGTTACTAAAGCAGTATCTTTGAAACAATATTCATTTAAATGATTGAATCTATTAGGATTGGACTTTTCTCGCATATATTGAATATATTTTAAAAATTGCTATTAACCTTCTTGTGGTATAAAAACGATATTTTTACCGTTCTATTTTGCAAAGTATTGGTGATGATTAGATTACTTCGATCGATTATTATTTGCAATATTAACAAGAAGAAATACAATTGACACAAAAGTAATAATGATGAGAGAGAATGGAAAAAATGAGTACTTTTTGGAATAAAAAATATATATATTTATGTATATATACATGCATATATGTGAACACATACATACGAGGCAGCGAAGCGGTATTTCACAACGCAGATAAAATCTCATTTACTATGGTCCACGAAAATTAAGATTCAGTTTAATTACGTTAATTGCAACGCGACATTTGCTGTTCGGAAAGGAAAAGAGATTTACGACTGCTGTTCTAGTCAAAAAGCAAGAGAGAGAGAGAGAGGGGTGATAGGAAAAAGAAATGTAGAGATTTATAGCTCATGTTTGCGCTTCGTAAACGTAGAGGAAGTCGATTGTTTGCTGTTTGCCTGATACTCGTACAATTCCTTTATTACATACGATATATACTGAGAACGAAAGATGATTTATAATTTAAATTTTTGATGATAGATGTACATCTAGAAATAGTAAAAATATTGACATAAAAGAAAAATATAATAGGAAATTTCTCGTAAAAATGACAAATTTTTTTATGGAGCAATTACTTATATGTATATTTAAATAATTAATGATTTTGATGTATGTATGTTAAAAACACCAAAAATTTCAATTTTTGTGAAAGTTATAATTCTTCCCGAAATAATAAAAAAAATCTCATAAAATAATTAAATCAATTAATATATAGTACATATACTTAATCGGAATATAGGGAAAAATTATATTGTACATGCATAAAAAATTTTCAATATATGCTGTATAAGAAGAGAAATTTCAAGTTAGAGTTAAATTGTGTACTTCGTATTCTTTTATCTTCAATAAATAATCGAGAAACAACTTTTATTTCCGATGAATAAAAATGGGTATGATAATGTAGGAATATCAAACATTAGATAGGAAGAAGTTGTCATGCACAAAATTAAACAGCATGTAACAAGTATAAAATACAGAAATTCTCATGAAATGAGAGAAGGAATAAAAATAATGTAGCTATTCGGAACTTATAGAAATATTTGAAGAATTTAATAATATTGTGGATAACATATTTGTGTTTTATGACTTAATGTGGAAATGTAATATATAAAATATATTACATACTGAAATTGGAATTAGTGGATTAGTGATAAAACAATTTAAATAGCTTTTTGAATTAAATAATGCAAAATATTATATTTACAACAATATTAATAGCAAACATTCAATTATTTATTTATTAAGTTATATATATAATTATTTATTATGAATAACACATATATAATTTATATATTCTATTGAGTACATATTATAAAGATTTACAATATGTATGACAATTGCAGATATTATTTGGAAATAAATAAAAAGAAATGAATAAATTATTAACATGTGGCAACTTGGACGTGTCAAATATTAACTATTAAGTAAAAATTAAGTAAAAACAATTAAGTAAAAAAATTTTTACAATTATATATTAAATGATATATTTACAATTGTTATTTAATTGTCACTAATATTTGATATATTGCACAATGCCAGAAAGATAATTAGTGCTTATGTTTATGCTATATATATACATAAAGCGGCGAGAATAATATAAGTATATATATAGTTCTCGCAGTTTCGCCGATTAATTAGAATGATTAATGAATCGTCTCATAAAGGAAGGAAGAGACAGTTAAATTACACAAATGAAGATAATGAGATAGCATCATATATTATGTGAAAGGGATAATAAATTATTATATTAATTATAAAAAAACTTTGAAATTATATTAAATTATATTAAAATTATATACAAAGACACGAGAACATTCATTATCGAGTGAATTTAATGTATTATTCATGGAAGATTTTTTTTTTTAATCTATTTGGAATAGTAGAGAATAGATGGCACTCACACTAACTAAATTCAGAATGTTATTTAAAGAAATATAATAAATTATATTTCTATACTTTAATTTTAATTATTTTTAATTTTACAGAGATCATTGTATAATATTATTTTTTAAAACGTTTATGTACTTTATTTTTATGTACCCTGCAATATTTTCCTAATTTTGCATGTAATTATTTAGTAATTATTTAATTACTACATGACTATATATTTATTTTAAAAAATTAATAATATGTTATCTCGTATTATGTAATGTAAATTACATACAAGTCGCCCTTTTTCAAATAAATCTTCTAATAATGTAAATAAAATCTTTGATTAAGTAAAAATAATATTATCATTTGCCAGAAATGATATTAAAACAATTTAAAACGCAAGATATACACCGCTAATATTTACATTAATTAAAATTAAACAAATAAAAAAATAAATCTTTGTTGTGCATATAATCAAAATTTATTGATTCTATAAAAATAAATATTTCTTCAAAGATAATGTGATTATATCTCTCTTACATATTTTTAATTCAGACAGAAAATACACAATAACATCTATAACTTTTAAGCCATAAAACAATTTCTCTCCAAAAATACTGCTGGAATTTTTTAATTTAAATTTTTATTATTTTGAAGTAATTGCCAAAAATTTGAAAACTAAATTTCGAAACTCATGAAAAACTACTTCAATTGTGAAAAAGGTATAACAATCTCTACTGCCCTACCTATACACAACTTTAAAAACAGAATGTTTACTTTATAAAGTAAAGTATATTTGCTATTTATGTGTTTATATAATATATTAATGATCTCTGATTTCTAGATTAAAAAAAATGCAACTGAGAAATAACAATTTGTGCTCACTCTCTGACACTTTAATAAAAAATAATCGCTCTATTTTTCATTCGTATCACTTATTAACAAGATAACCGTATTTGCCAGAAAAATGAACTGTAGACGTTAATGAACTAGTTAACATGCCACACGACATTTATCGTGCGCGAGAAATATCGGGATCACGTACCACACACCCTGCGACTTGTCGTGGCGCAGGGCGGTCGTAGGAAATAATGGAATGGTACTTGGCGGCGTGAAAGGAGTTACTCAATTGAATCCACGGTATCGGGCGATAAAACGGTACAGCTAATGGAATTACACCGGCGCGCTTGCATGCGTGCGACGCAAATTTATCGCATGCATTATTCATAACTCGGCCCAAGTCGGCCGACGTCGTCAACCGATGGTGTTCGCGCGCGTCCCACAAGTAAAGCGCTTCTTCTCCTTTCGACAAAAATATATATGTATATATGCGTACATATATCGATCTCACACACATGAGGAATATCGCGCGGCATATATTGATCATTGGGATATTACATGGACGATGTAAAAAGTCACCCGGAGAGGCCTCCGGGCGAGTTGAAATGTCGTCATCGTCGTTGTCGTCGTCGTCGTGCCGTTATATTTCATAGCCTTGCTTCACACCTCGTTTGCGCCATTGTCGTTCTAGACGAACAACTTTCGCAATTTCATTCGGCACGGTCTGCGACAAGGACTTGGCGCGCTAACTTGGTCCAGGTAAATTAAACGCTTGTCTCCGCTCGCGATGCCTAGCTCGGCGATCTTCAGTCGCGCTGGAGGACCTCGGAAATTCAAGCAATTACCATTCGCTTCGGATGCAAGAATGATAAAAGGCAGGCGTGTCGCCAAGGGAAAAATAGCGCGGTCAAAATAGGCCGAAGTAGACAGGCGAAAAAATGCGAAAAATTTAGCAAGGCAGATATTAAAACCGGTAAAATTTCGATGGGTTTCGATTTCCGATGTTGCATACAGATTGACACCTTGCACTTTTTTTTTGACACTATCGCGTTTCTATTGTAACGCAAAAAAACATAGGAACTATTTATATTTATATCTGTAGTCTACATCTGAGCACAACAATAACACATGTTATAGGAAAATAATACCTAATTTGGGACAAATTTAAAAACTGTACGTGTGTGTGTGTGTGTGTGTGTGTGTGTGTGTGTGTGTGTGTATGGCGTATTTTTGCTGCTGGCTTCCAAATATTTGTTTGTTACGCATTCGCCGATATTAATGTCAGCTACGTCAGCAATAATAACGTTCTAGATAGGCACGTCATAGTTTTTAGTTTTTATTTAGCTATACGGACTTATCGAAATTGAGATCTTCCTAACAAATATTATAATTGCAAAATATAATGAAAAATATTAAGAAATTTTATGAATAAATTGCAAGAAAGTACATATATGCAGATAAAATAATATTTTCAACAATTTTACATCTTTACAATATAAATCTAACTACAGACTACATTTTCATAGAATTTTATAGCTTAAAGTTTAATTATAAAAATATTTCAGGCCAAATGTTAAAAAGCTGCAGTCAGAATTTTATTGCGGAAAGATTGAACTTTAGATTGAATAGAAGATTTGTAAAAATATAGAATTTAAAATGCCCTTCGTATTTTTCACGTCACAAACTTTCTGTTTTTTTATTCAACTTTTCATAACTTCTATATATATAAAGTATTAAGTCCGTCTACACGTAATCTTTGAAATTTTCTCTTCGTTCTT